ATGATAATAGTAGTGTCAGTGTTATTGCATTTATACGATGTGAAAAATTTGCGAAGAGCATGAAAGAAATAAACCGATAATTCTCGAATTTAATTTTTTTCTTGGAAACTAGACAAAAAAGAAAATTAACCTATTTCCTCTGACAAAATAAAAACGCTGAAATATATATCTAAAACTGATTTTCAGCCAGAGGTTTTGATGGTTAATGGCTTTCCAAACGAAACGGCGAATTTCTCCTTTCTTGTCAGTATAAGCCCCGAAAACGGTTGCTAAACATAGATTTCCCCGTTTGCTATGAAATCCATGTTTGCTGGTCAACGCCAAACAAATTCATAAAACCATAAAACCGTGCATGGACTTCGAGATAATCCTTTTACATTGAGGATATTTTTCATGTATTCTTCCACCGATGAAAAGGTTGAACTTCAGTTCCACCATCTCCGAGAAGAGACAACTGGCGATTGTGTAAAAAAACACAGTAAGGTTTATTAGCCAGATACAAAAGAGACACTTTTTTCAAAACGGAAATTGTGGGGAAGTGCACTCTGGCAGGTGAAAAACATTAGCATTGTTTCAGAGCAAGCTTTGAAAATGTAGCGAAAGAGTAAAACTCACATCCAATTTATTTCTCATTAGATGCCGGAGATGCGCCTTTTAACAGAAAGTGAATAGTTAAAGTAAATAAACCACTTTCTGTCTTTGTAAAATAAGCCGGAATAAAAAATCAATTCAAAGAAAAACGGCCAATTATGTAGCAGTTTTAGTTTAATTAAATTGCACTTTTTTCAGGTCTAAATTGTGGGTATGACATCTTCAGAAAGCAATGAGATATCATGTTGTATTTACTTTACTTGCTATTTTTTCTTTACAATATTAATCGGACAATTTTAGACGCTTTGGACAAAGCACTTGGACTTTTTTTTTTATCAAACTATGCATTTTCCCCGGCAAAACTTTGGTTCCATTTTCATAATCATAAAATCTGTTCTGAAAAATCTTGTTAAGAGTAAACACTGTAAGCTTTCAGCAAAAGAATGAGGCATGGTTTTACCATAGAAAAACTGAAGTTGTTTTATGATCAGATAAGTTGAAATAACACTTTATAACCAGCACAACTCTTTATCGGAACATTACTAGCTGTTTAAGGGTCCACCTACTTTTCAATAGCTTTGTAAAATTTAATACTCGGGTTAAAAATGAAAGAAAAGGAAAGATAGAAAAATCAAGAGATTTATAGACAGCCAAAGCGACCGATTGTTGAGTCTTAAATTGTGAAGTTTTGTAACAAATACTCACAAAAAAACTTTGGAATAAATCGAGATACTTTGATTATCTGATCGTCTGTTTGGCACTGTGAATGACATTTCTACTGTGCTCGTTTATTAAAATGATATTAAAAAACGTGTGTTAAAACAAAGACTTTATTCTTCAGGACAGCGGCCATCTCAATTTAGACCGACTGAGAGGAGAATAAGCAAACAAATACGAATGAGAGGAAATTTGAGTTTACTTTTTCAAGGGTAAAAGCCAATTCTCTTTTGCCATCTGCTGCGGTGAAGGACGTTAGTCCAATGTAAACTTTCAACGGATCATAATCAGGTTTTTATTTATCTGGAAATATCAAATTTATTCAAGTGTCTTTGTAGCCACTGGGAGTTTGTTCTCAATAATTGGCTTAGAATGTATCTAATTCCATCTTGGAAACAATCGTGTTTTGTTTGGGGAGTATCTTAAGCGATAAATTATTTTCATCGCATTCTTTTCGCTTCTATGACTGCTTCAAACAAACCCTAGTTTCACATTTTTTACCCCGAAAGCAAGGCTGAAATTTCTCCAAATTATCCATAAATGTCAAAATTCTGCAGTGATAGCGGATGTAAAAATAAAATGTATACTTTGTGCGGTAAAACGCGTTAATTTCACTGGTAACCATTGATTAAGAAGATTCCCTTCCTGCTAAGATGCCGTATCGATATATCCAATCAATTATACATTTATCTTGGTGATAGAAAAATATCGTTTTTATGTTTACAAAACGCGTAAAACCGCGGAAGTGTATAGTCTAAGCAGTGGCAACAATTTCCTCGTAGTGTTAGTTAAAACAGTGATGATTACAGGGCAATTTAAGGTATAAAACATTTGTACTTTACCAAAAGATAAGCACAAGGCTAGAGTCTATGCATCCTTTATTAATATCACAGTTCCTGTTGACAGTCGGATGCAAAATTTCTAAATCAAATCACAATTAAAGCTATTCTTGTGACAACGGTGTGAAAAAAAATCACTACGCTATTATTATGAAATCTAAACTTGACGCATAGAGCAATGGCAGGTGACTACAACAATATGGACAAGACACTGAGCAATTTCCGAACGCAACTCCAAAATAAATCCGACAATGATTTCCTTAAGGTTTCTATCGGTCAAAAAAGAAAGCCATTTCATTGCTTTAAAATGTAAACCATTTCAATTCTGTGGAAGCCAATCAAAGATGCACGCGGCGAAAAGAAAACTCTATGGGGCGGCGCGTGCCACAAATTACCTATATTCACATTCAGTGCTCTAAACACATAATGCGTACCGATAATTAAATTTCGTGGTGTGATATGAGCCGTTTGTAAGAAAACAAGCAGTTTTGAATGCGGTGATACTGTAATTAAAGTTATACAATGGTATCTTGCAAAGTTGGTTGCGAAAATAAAACCATTCAGCTGTGGCTCCCCTGTCTTCGGAAAAAGTTGTTTGGAAAGTATTTGCGAACAAGAAACTTTCCAATATGGACGATATATGGCTCCTGTTTGGACAGCACGTGTCGAACACATTATCTACAGATTCTATATACATAGATTCAACATTTCAAAGCAATGGATCGCTAATTGTTTTGATGGCGAATAAAAGTGTAAAAAAGCTGCGAAAACACTTTACCGCCCAAACAAAAGTCATTGATGAGCAGATTAAATTACAAAGATGCTACTGATCTACACGGTCTTTCATTTGAGGAACCCACCTTTAATTAGCTTTACGAACCAATCACCGCTTAGGTGGGTCAGGTGATCATCCTGGCAGCTGGTCTAGTCAAACTACAAGGTGCGACAGCAGTGTACAAGTCCAAAAGCCTCTTTACCATTCGTCAGAGACTATAAAACGCCACGACCTCCGAAGAGGAATTCGCCAATTTGAAGTCGTCGTTTTTTGGTTCAGTGAAGACATGGAGGTCGAACAACACACCGTAGTAGGTAAGACGCTGAGAGTCCAAGTTTATTCATTCCCTTGGTATTCTATTGACAAGCCTACGGAAGTTTTCCATGGAGTGAGTTTAAAAGTTTAGAGTTCTTAAAGGGTTTTACTTTTAATTAAAATCCCATTAGCTAGAATACGACACTGAGGTGTAGCTATGTTTCCGCTTCAAAAATGTAGACTCCGTCTTTATTTTTTCGCTCCGGACAGCGCGTAACTGTTTAGCTCGTCTAGGTATTTCATTTATGCCTGGGGAAAGACTTCCTCCGATACTTTTCCATTTCCATGGAATCACAGCAAACCAAAAATTATTATATCAGAGGAAAAATTTATTTGGCTAAACTAGAATTCGCTGCCTTGCTGGAAAATCCTTTTAACTAGAGAGATTTGAAATTAATCCTGAGCAAGTTCAAAACTTCGACACTTAGGGTCTTGCGACAGGTTTTGTGACTTTTTTGTTTTGACTATCGCACTATTCAGAAGATCGAGACATGGAGCGCGACAGCTCTTCCCCAAAGAAACAAGAATCGATTGAGCGCAAACCCGAAGTGCTGTGCAAAGTTTGCGGGGATATTTCGTCAGGAAGGCATTACGGAGTGTACACATGCGATGGCTGTAGCGGTTTCTTCATGCGTAGCGTGCGAAGAGACATGGTGTATTCCTGTAAGGGCAACGGAAATTGTGTTGTTGACAAGAAACGACGAAATCAGTGTCAAGCTTGCCGGTTTCAGAAATGCCTCGATGTCAAGATGAACAGGTTCGGTAAGTGAGAAAGTTACTCGTAAAGTTACTTTTCGATCGTCATCAGTTCATCATCAACGCAACACGCTCACGCCCCGCGAATGGCTCAATGGCCGGCCAAGCAATTAAAACTTGCCCGATCATGAAATTTGTTTTCGTTTTTGGCACATATCTTAAGAGAGGGGCTTAACCTAATTCCAGCGTACCATTGTCGAATAATCGACGGGCACAACGCATTGTACGTGATGTTTTGTAACTCATTTTGAAATATATCATTAAGGTTCAAAGAAGGCGGAAAGCTTTTCTAAAAAAATGTGACGCGATGATGATTCGAGGTGATTTTGTTTGTGATGTTTTTCGCTGTAGCTTGGAATGCGCTTCATTTTCTTCTACTTTGGGAAATATTAAAATTTAATTTGGCGACAGAATGTTTACTTGGGAGATCCAAAACGTTAAAATTTCAGAATTTTTTCGAGAAGTTCTCAAAGTCGATATGTTTGATGTGTGTAAGTTGAATCAGAGATAATATGTTTGAGAGAGAGTGAAAGCGCCCGAAGAGTTTTACCGTATTTTTACAATGTTTGGTATTTCGGAATTTTCTTTAATTTGACAATGTGATAGATATTTGGTGGATGATATTTTGATACTCCGGCGGAGCCACATTGTTCCCTAAATACATTGAATTTCGAAGACAGCAATTAGTTCCAATTAATCTTTATAATAAAAAGGAAACGTCAAACTTTCCTTCCATTCTTCGCTGACAACAAATCACTGTGTATTTTCGCAAGCTGCGGTTTAAGAACCTTCGCAATTAAACTTTATTTATTCTAAGCCAAGGCTATGTAGCTCTCTAAGAAATTAGAGTTTCCCAACGAAATGAGTAAATAAACGTGTCCTAATGAAAAGCTAGCATGATATCTTGGGAAGATTAGAAAAACAGTAAATTGTTACAAGTGATAATCTGCGGCATTTCCGAGAAGGACATATGTCCAGCTAATGAGCACAGGTGAAAACAGGTCTTTGAAATGTTTCACGAGGAAAAAAAAAAAAAAATTTGGCGGTTTCTTTGAGAAAGAGCTCCTTCCCCTCAGTATTAATGCATAAAGGACGTTACATAAACTACTAGCGCATCAGAAAATTCGCTTCTTGGCTTTTGGGAGGCGAAAAAGATGAATGTGTTGGGATGTCGACCCGAATAGGTTACCGCAGGTGATCACCAGATCAATTGCAAAGACATTTTGTTCCATTCATTAAAATAGACAGACCGTGTTTTTCTTTTCAAAGGTAACTCACCCGTATTCTTTGATAAACAATAAACTGAGTTCTTCAGCGAGGAAACAAATGCCTCTATTGTCTTTTCTCTATACAATTTCTCGGTTTAAAAAAACTTTGTGCGACACGAACTTGAATCCTTACTTAAACTGCACAGCTTCAGGGCGAAAGCAGTGTCTTGATTCAAGCTGGGTTCTCAAACGAAAAGAAATTACTCTTGCCAAGCTAGAGAACCGGTGTTAACACAATTATGGTTTATTTGAAATTTAGGCAATTTAGAACCTCCACGCCGCTTGTTTTGAATAGATTAGTATAGATAGTGATATACTATTGTAATATAGGGACGGACAGTGGGAACTCGATCTAAAGGTAAACAAAAACGCGTGGCGCCCTAAAAACATTTAAACGCCTTTCTTTTTACGATATTCTTACTAATGGCGCTGAAAATACGCCCTCACCAAAAATACCTCCTTTTCGCCATTAATCCACGTTTTAGACGCATTTAAGACTAGAGCTGAAACGGTTTTTTTTTCGAAGAACCTCAGTTGCCTAAAGGTTCTGTATAGTACCTGAGCGGGTTAGAGCTATGTTTAAGAAACAGCTTTTGTTGTGTACGTGCTTTCGTAGTAAACAGTGGTTTTTCGTTTTCTATGGTTCGTTCTGTACATTGTCTTCGATAGGGCATTACAATTTAATTCCATTATAAACAGGTTGTTTTGTCATCTGATCCTCTCGAGTTGTAGTAAATTTTATGAATGCACCGACTTTCCTTGAAAAAAGAAAAAGTCTCTCAAACTTCTCATGTCGTTGAGTTGCGTGTTAAAAGCACTTTTCCAAGTATTCATTTAATGGAGCCCTAGATATCTTATGAAACCGCTAAATGCCAAGATAGTTTCTTCCTTAAAGAAGATATTTCGCTGACGAACAGCAAGCAGGAGGTCTATCCGCTGCTAGCATTTTAAAGCCGCAAACAATTTGCGACAAAAAAATTAGTGTTATCAGAAATTTTTGCGCGTTGCCAGTTTCCTTGCTAGAAAACAGTGCCCACAACTCCCTCAGGTTATTAGAGAATAAACATATTTGTTTTAACGTTGTTTGAAAGAGAAGTGTTCTTGCAGGTTGAATGCTACCTTTGCTGTCTAATGAGAACTGGCTAGACACGCTTGAAAACTTTAAATCTTTCCATACAGTCAAGAAACCTAACTCTCCAAATCCGAGAGTTTCTTTCGACCAAATGCAGTCCAACTTCAAAATAAACTGGCCATAAAAACTTGTACTTTACAAAAAGAGCTGCAGAGAAGACCTTTTCTCTTCTATCCAAAATAAAACAGGATTTGCATTCTGATGTTGTTCGAAATATCATAAGAATTTTAATGCGAAAACTTTATGTTCTCATCGTTGACAGAACTAGAGTATGAAAAGGTAGGTCACAGTTTCCAACGTCAGATCTAAATGAATCAAACGAGCGCCGTGGAAAAACAATGATATAACTAATATCAAAATGACACAAAAATGACAAATAAAACAGAGGTGATTCAGTAAGTCATAACGGATAGAATGAATGCGGGAATGTTCAGCTTTCGGATGGTCTCTGTGGTAACAAGTCCACGGGTTGAGAAGAACTGAAAATTAGCGAGGTCATTGAAAAGATATTTTTATGACTTTATCGTAATGAAAGCACTTCAAACCATGTGAAGACTCGTTAAGTAGAGTGTGACAAAAGCAGCCGCTGTATTGTTCAAGTCATAAACACAGAAGCCCTTACGTCAAGCATTGTGCAATTTAAAAAAAAACCTTTTTTGGATCGTTTCCTAGGTTATACTGTTAAAAGAACAGGCACGCTCCCACTAAGAGAGCTTGTAGGCTGAAATTTAATTGTTCTCACCCTAGGCTTGAGAATGAAGGTACAAGTGTGGCTATTAACAATATCAATCAGTATGTTGCCAGGCTAAGGCAGAACTCATTCCGAACAAAACACCAGATGTTCTATCTCCTAGTTCGACAGACTTTTGTTGATTAAAGGACAGAATTAGTACGACTTGAACGCTATGCAATTTTCAAATGTCGAGTTATCGTGTAAATGAGGCATAGGTTTCATAATATTTATATGCTCCGCAAAACCGTTTCGTTTCTAGGTTGCAAAAGTATTTCTAGGTAATGTTAACGGCTGTAAATAATACATTTTGCTCTTTCCTACAATCGATCAACAATTTACTTGGCAGTTAATTTTAAGGATAGTTCTTTTATTTCTAGATTGAAATATCCCATGCTATCACCTATCGGTAAAAAAATTGATAAGGTAAAATAAAACTAGAACATAATCATGTCTTTAAAAACATTTTTCCTATTTGTGCCTCGCATGAATAAAACATATACTACCGCCCTCAAACAAGATGTTACTCAAGGTGGTACATTTTCAATATTTCATAGTTAAAGAACTCAGAACTTTTAATTCTTAATACGTTTTAGGGCTGCATCGGTAAGAACACATTTACAGATAGCTATTGCACTCAACACATTGTAGAAATAAGGAACAAATTTCGACTCGAAAAGTGTAAAATCCTCTTAAATGAGAAAAACTCCTTCGCTAGAATCCAGTGACATGACCTTCTAAAAAATTCATTTAATGGTCACAGAACCTCAATATCTAGCGTACAACAATATCTCTTTTAAATTGCATGAATAGGTTTATAGTTTAACCTGAACACATTCTTCAAGAGTTCGTGGTGAAAATGTCTTTCAAGTGTAACGCAAATACAATAAAGGCGAGGGCTAAATGGAACATGCCAACTTTTTGATTAGGACGATAAATTTGTCAACAGTGAATCCAAGACTTATGTTCCTGCTTATTTTGAGTTTAAATCATTGCATTTTGACTGTGGGAAGAGAACACGCAATATTGCTTGGAGGGGAATTTTTTTAAAGCGATTAAACCTATAAAATGTACTATAATTTTTATCCTCGCATAAGCTATCTTAAATATTTATATGTCACAATTGAGTCGTAAACCTCCTCAAAGGTTTCTCAGGATATAGATTCTAAAATCCCTTTGCGAGCAATTTTTACCGTGCATTATATTTTGTATTGTCGTTTGAGTGTCATTAAAGCAGAAACACGTCCAAACACTTTCATATTTTTCTATAAATATAGAACGAATCATCTTAATTTTTTGTTTTCCAGCCGTCCAACAAGAAAGACAACCGAATTCCGCCCGCCTTCTAAAACCGCCCATGGGGGATGAATACGCAAGTAAGCTCGTGAACAATGACTTCCTGACAAGTCTGATTGTGGCGGAACCCTGCCGGGAGGCCGTACATCGCTTTGGGCATCAAGCGCCAGGAATTCCTTATCCTTCGCAACAAGAAATCGCCACCTCGCTGTACTGCTCGACACCCGATGCCATCTGTGAATCTGCCGCGCGTTTGTTGTTTATCTCGGTAAAATGGGCGCGAAATATCCCTTCATTCGTGAATTTACCGTTCAGAGATCAAGTTATTTTGCTGGAGGAAGGCTGGAGGGAGTTATTTATCATGGGAGCCGTCCAGTGGAACATGCCTCTCGAGGTAGCACCTCTCCTAGCCGCGGCAGGAATGCATGTGGATAACACGCCTGCGGAAAAAATTGTCGCTACCATGGCCGATATTCGTATGCTGCAAGAAATCAGTGCGCGATTTCGAAGTCTCCAAGTTGGCGAAGCGGAGTTTGCGTGTTTGAAAGCAGTAGTTCTTTTTAAATCTGGTAAGTTGATAGAATTTAGCATCTCGAAAAACCCAGTTTTTAACAAAAAACGTGAATAAATCAGTAATTACATCGTCAATTCACTAAAATTTGTACCATAAACTCCACTGAATAATCTTAACTAGGAATATTTTCTATGGCAGTATTTCGTAAACAAAGTCCAGTTACATGTCTTGTGAGATGTAAACCAGAAATATATCATGAAGTATAAAAAAACAAGACCTGCTTCCAAAAGTTATCATTTAAGTATGGAAGTTATTAATTTTCATGTAAAGCAAAGCCTTTATTCTTCTTTGCGATGGCACAAAACAGAACAATATTAATACCATGCTTTGTATACTGAGTTTGACACGTTTTTAAAGAAAAACAACTAAGCAAAAGATACAATGGGCCTTTACGCCTCAGGTTCATCGAAGTCTTTATCTTGTGATGGATTGGGTTTGGAAAGCATTTACCCTGAGTGCTTGTAACAGAAATGGGCGTTCTTGTTCTTAATGGTCTGACCTTACTTAAAATCCCACTAATGATTCAAAATTAGGAGTCTTGTATTTTGAAAGTAAAATTTATTCTAGAAACGAGTAATCCATTTGAAACTCTACACGAGCACATGTTGTGAAGGTCGGAGTCGCGCAATGCTAACCACTTAGATTAAAACGCCAAGCAGATTAGCCTCGTGTAGGGATTTTTTTAGTTCTTCTTTATTAACTGTGTGTATCAATAACCATATCATAGAAAAATCAAAGCCGCTTAATTTACGCTAATTACAATACGCTTTGCTGAGCGCAACAAGCCTACACTGCTTCTCATTTATAATTAAAATAACCATTTCTCTATGATTGAATTCCTAAATAAGACTGTGTGCTTCGGTTATTGAAATATGCTTAATTACGACCGTAGTAAATTTCTCATATTAACTTTAATCAAATATGAAACTTATACTCTTTCATATTAATGATGTCGCAGAAACCCCATATGACTTGTTATCTACTTCGAATAATTTTGCCTTAAAATACAACACATTAGGTCAGGCGACTGGAAATCTAATTTTCAATCTATGTGCAACCAATTGAGAGAGTTTTATTATCTTCAGTACAACAACGACGCGTGTTTTAGTGAGAAACTTGAAAACATATGAAGTTTGTTTTTTCTATTTGTCAAAGAGTTTAGAGTCTCGTTATTCCACTGTCGGAGTTCGAAGTTTCTTCAAAGGACTTCAAGTTGACGTGGGTTTGAGTGTTGAGATTGCACCAAAGTGCTTAATGGAACATGCCACAACAAGACAAATTGGTACTCGAATGGAGTACTCTAAGATTACCATCTAAAGCCTGCAGTCCAAATTTGGGCGGCATTGTAAAGAGTAGGTATTTGATGTTTACATACCACAAGCTCTAAATGGAAAACAGTTGTTACCAGACAAGCAAAACACTGAAATTTTTAAATACGTACCGTTCTATTCCTTCCAGTTCTCCTGCATAGTCTCGGCATATGGAAAAATAATCGAGAAAGCATGAAATATATTTCTCAACCGTTTCGAATGATATCAAAACACGTTCGTCTCACTCAAAGCTTTGATAGCTTTCGATAGATCAAATCTACTTTTTGATCTATCAACGTCAGGAACAACTCATGACCCTAAAAAAATCGATTTTCTTCTTTAAGTGTATGATAAAATAAGTGTCTCTGTACCGATACAAAACATCTAACAATACTCTACAATGAAAGTTCTCATGTCTTTAGTGTCTGTGGCTTGAAAGCAACGCGACGGTATTTTTACTCTGCGGTTTTCCTCAAAACAGGTGTCTCTTGAAGAGTAATTCAATAAAAAAATAATCTGGGATCATTTTACCACCCGCCATGCTTCGAATGTCAAGTTTTATTCAATAATATATCCAATTTACTGCTGTTCTGAGCCAACTTACCACGTTACTAACTAAGTCACGATACAAGTCGGTAAAAATCAGTGATTTTATCGAAGCTTTTTTTATGACTTATTCATTAACTTTCAATTGATATTGTTTTTGAAACGTTTTGGAGACCTTTTTAGAAAGGGAAACTTTACAGGAATGCCGAAACGAAGCTGGACATAAGATGATACACTCCTTAGCCAGGAAAATACTAGGCCGAAAACTAGGGTGACTTCCGTGGTCTTATCAACTGGACCATACCGTGATGTAAGAAAACAGATTTAGCCTACCACGCTCCGGCGATTCTTTCCTCCGCTACGAATCTTTGAGAGTTGTAAATGGAACCCTTATCCAAAAGTTTTGTTATAGAGATCATTTGTAAGGTTTGTTGATCTGTAGGTTCGGTCGTATAATAAAGGGCGACGTGTTTTCTTCATGTAAGCATACGGACAACTGAGCGAATTAACTGGGAAAATGTTTATGTTTTTTTACAAGGCCTTTTACATCCCTCGTGAAGTTAGGCGAGGTAAACACAACATTATAAGTTTCCTGGTTCCTGGATTGTTTTTTCACGAACACTAAAACAGCCCACATGGAGCAAATTATCCTTTTCATAAGCAAGTGGCTTATGTCCCACAAAGAACTTTAATTTATTAAAATTCTGTAATTTCCCTGAAACATGAGACTGCTGGGCATTTGATTGTGCATATAACAATAGAACAAATATCGTGGTCAATCCAGTTTTGAGCGTTAGTGAAATCAGAGGACACTGAGTAAAACATCATGTTCCAGTAGTAGCTGGCCTATCACGTAGTCTGTTAAGCCTATCCAAAAATTCACAGACTCATCCACTGATGCACTGGATTGTTGCAGTGAATTGTGTACGAATTCATGTCACGGGGACACCTTGTCCGACTCGTGGCGCCTCAAACTTGTTTGAAACCATCTGTTAGCGTAACCTCCCCTGTGGCTCAATAAAAGTGAAATTTTTCCTGTCAATGACATATCTTCCCCCTCCCTCTCCCACAAGTTAAGACATCCCTCCAGGATAATCTTACATCTCCCCCCATCCAAATTAATTTTTAACAAACCATTCTGTCCTCTCTGACAATTTTTTTTTTCCTAACCATGAAATCAGAGCTCAGAGGACTACGAGATCCACAGCAAGTGGAGTGCTATCAAGACCAAGCGCAGATCATGCTAGGAGATTACATCAGGAGGCATTTTCCCGGTCAGCAAGTTCGCTTTGGGAAGCTTCTCTTGATGCTGCCGTCGCTCAGGATGGTGAATCCAAAAACTATTGAAGAACTTTTCTTTCGACAAACTATCGGAAGCGTGGCCATCGAGAGCTTGCTTTGCGACATGTTCAAGTCAAGTTGAACAGGACTCGGTCATCGATCGAAAACGAAATTACGAGCGCAAACGTTGCGCAAAGACAATCGATACCACATTTGCTACTCGGTCAAAGTGACTTACTTGTAGAACGTTGTGTGGTTTTTAAAATTGAATCAGACTGGAGAGAGAAACCTATTCAAGCCGTGATTAATGAATCAAAGCCACAATCAGTTTTTTGTTTATAGAATCAAAAGAGTCTCTAAAGAATACTAGCAATAAGTAAACAAATAAGTAAATAATGTAAGCTAAGAATTAGGACGCAGTTACAACGTTACACGTTTTCATTTACAGTTTGGAAAAGCATTGCAAACGAAAACGTAGAAAGTTGCCCACAAAGAAAACATGAAGTCATTCAAGGATCACTTCTCGGAGGAATTCGTTTCCATGTTCATCGATAAAGAATACAACTTTCAATTTAATTAATCTTTGATTTAGAATCAGTACATGACTAAGGGCTTCTTTAGCAAGCTTTGAATATTCGGTGAAAACTGACGGTGCACACTTGCGAAAACATTTTACAACCTATTCTACTATAAAATAGACTGAAACTGATGTAGATTTTTATTAAAGTTAGAAATCTTTATATTGCTTGCGTTCCAACTCTATCTTAGCTTGATACTTCAACTCACATGTTAGAACAATTTTAACTTGAGAGTCCTAAGTAATCCAAGATTCCATGGGATTTGCTTTTCCTTTTAATTGGTCAAAAAAGTTCGCGCCAATCTCTCAATCTATCAAATGCAAACCTTGACCAACGGCAACTTGGTCTCCGGCGTTTTCCCGCGCTTCAGGTAATTGGCTGTTTTCTTTTTTTTCCTTTTCAGTTCCTAGTCTCAGATTCCTTGAAGTGTCTCATGCAAACCCTGGTGTGCGAGGCGACCAACATCGCTTCGAATAGCTTGAATCCATGCATGTAATTCGTGGAAAGATATCTTCAAGTCCTCCTTTCGATCAATCTTTTTTTTTTGTGCACTTCGGTACATGGCACTGCAGTTCTGCGGCATTTTGTTAATAGTACGAAAACACATTTGGCCCTCTTGACCTCGTTTTCGTGCAATTCGCCCCAGTTTTTTACCGGGTGGCGGCCATTTTGGAATAAGTCGTATTCTCCTTGGTTCTGATTATTAGGTTGCTGTAGTTTTACGTTTAATCGAAAAGCAGTAAATCCCCCTCAGAGCTGCCATAAATTTAATCGTGAGAGTTTGGTATTTCACCAGGACATACAAACATTGGCCCATAAGTTACTTTCTTCACAACTAGATGAATTATCTTTTTCATTGGAAATCTGATTTTGGAAAGTATACGTTTTGCTGCTTTATGCATCAAAGTGTGAAACAGCCCGTGACAGCTATCAATGTTTTCCCCGATCGTTTCTTCTTTTCTCATGAGTATTGATCTTAAGAGTAAATCTTTGGGAACGGAATTCGCTTAATAATAAATGAGCATTATATTCAGTATTAAACAATGGTCTGACCAAAATGCATGCGTTCTCGAATTGTCCAAGTGAGGAAGTTGCATTTTCATTATTGCGAAAATTTCTTTAATCAGCGCCATAGCTACCGATCAAATAAGGCATACAATTTCCAGAACGTAACAAATCTTGATATCATTGCTTAATAAACCAATCTCTACACGGCTGTACTCTTTTTCCGGCTCAGATTTTTGGCTACAGCCACTGACTACCTATATTGTGCCAACGATTGTCTCAGTAATGATCAGTGGTAAACTCTACATCTGCTGTAAAAAAAATCTTACCAATCAACACCTTAAGCGAAAGTTTCTGATAAAAAAAAGAGCAGTATGAAGAGGAAAATATCAGGTGAGTATAAATGATTTCGCTCGTGAAACAAGAGAAGTTCCAACTTGCAACAAAACCAATCGTCAACAGCAAGTATCCGTGATTGCCGCTACTTACGCTTTCTACTGCAATGAAAGGTTTGATCTTAAATTGAGCGTCACTCAATGAAAAATGCGCACGGCTACGATAAACAGACCAAACATAGCCATGGGCATAGAGAGAGAATTTCCTCCACTTTTAGGAATGGGGCCACCTCTGCTCACTTGCTTATCACATGTATCCTGTTTACTCTCACTCAGGCAAAGAGCGTGATCCATCACGTGAAAGACATACGGCTGTTCCACCACTCCATGGAATAAGTACGCTCCGGGTCCATCTGCGTAAACCCCTGGAAACACGAAAAGAAAAATTACAACAACTCTTAATAACCTTTCAAGGACTTAAGTAACAATTTGCCCTTCTTGAAAATTTTACCCTTATGTTTCCAAGTTCAAGCGTAATCTCTGCTAGTCTTCGGTTTTTTGGTATGCGGAATCGCCGAATTATCTCGAGAAATTCTGCGAAAAAAAATCCTCACTAATTAGTTGAATCCTTACGTTTTGACATTTATCTGAAGTTGAGTCCATCCCGCCTCAACACCGAGCATTTTGGGAAATGACCGAAAGGAAGAAAGAGATTTACCAGGCTCGACAAGGCATATGACTGTGAGGCGACTTCTGACTGATTCAATTCGTTATTTTATCGGCCTTTGTTTAACCAAGAAGTAACGAAAGTAGATTGACTGGTCGTTTCTAAATTTCAATATTTCTCAAAGATGTCACGTTGAGAGTAGAACGCATTCTTCCGGCAGCTGGGTAATAGTTCAACCCTATAAGACCAAGCCAGAATTTCTCCTTACAATATCAATACAATATTAAGCAGAGAAGTAATGAGAATAAAGAAAAATATAAATGAGGGAATTATTTCTTAATCCACTACCAAATTCTTCGAAGTAACATCATAAGCAAACAGTAAGGAGAATTATAACATAACCAAAGTAAACAACAACAAACATATGAAACATATGTATGAACTGCGGTTATGAGACGTATATGTGAACGATCCTTCGCAGTAAAGCACTATTTGAGCAATAGTGAAAATCAGACCTGAAAAAAATTTCAGGCCTGTACGGGATTCGAACCACTGACCTCTGCGATACTAGTGCAGCGCTCTACCAATTGAGCTAACAAGCCAACTGGGAGCAGGCCATCAAATTAATTCGACATAAACCCGTAGATGATAAATCAAACAACAACAAACATATGAAACATATGTATGAACTGCGGTTATGAGACGTATATGTGAACGATCCTTCGCAGTAAAGCACTATTTGAGCAATAGTGAAAATCAGACCTGAAAAAAATTTCAGGCCTGTACGGGATTCGAACCACTGACCTCTGCGATACTAGTGCAGCGCTCTACCAATTGAGCTAACAAGCCAACTGGGAGCAGGCCATCAAATTAATTCGACATAAACCCGTAGATGATAAATCAAACAACAACAAACATATGAAACATATGTATGAACTGCGGTTATGAGACGTATATGTGAACGATCCTTCGCAGTAAAGCACTATTTGAGCAATAGTGAAAATCAGACCTGAAAAAAATTTCAGGCCTGTACGGGATTCGAACCACTGACCTCTGCGATACTAGTGCAGCGCTCTACCAATTGAGCTAACAAGCCAACTGGGAGCAGGCCATCAAATTAATTCGACATAAACCCGTAGATGATAAATCAAACAACAACAAACATATGAAACATATGTATGAACTGCGGTTATGAGACGTATATGTGAACGATCCTTCGCAGTAAAGCACTATTTGAGCAATAGTGAAAATCAGACCTGAAAAAAATTTCAGGCCTGTACGGGATTCGAACCACTGACCTCTGCGATACTAGTGCAGCGCTCTACCAATTGAGCTAACAAGCCAACTGGGAGCAGGCCATCAAATTAATTCGACATAAACCCGTAGGTGATAAATCAAACAACAAACATATGAAATACATATATATGAACTGCGGTTATGAAACGTATATGTGCACGATCCTTCGCAGTAAAGCACTATTTAAGCAATAGTGAAAATCAGACCTGAAAAAAATTCAGGCCTGTACGGGATTCGAACCACTGACCTCTGCGATACTAGTGCAGCGCTCTACCAATTGAGCTAACAAGCCAACTGGGAGCAGGCCATCAAATTAATTCGACATAAACCCGTAGATGATAAATCAAACAACAACAAACATATGAAACATATGTATGAACTGCGGTTATGAGACGTATATGTGAACGATCCTTCGCAGTAAAGCACTATTTGAGCAATAGTGAAAATCAGACCTGAAAAAAATTTCAGGCCTGTACGGGATTCGAACCACTGACCTCTACGATACTAGTGCAGCGCTCTACCAATTGAGCTAACAAGCCAACTGGGAGCAGGCCATCAAATTAATTCGACATAAACCCGTAGATGATAAATCAAACAACAACAAACATATGAAACATATGTATGAACTGCGGTTATGAGACGTATATGTGAACGATCCTTCGCAGTAAAGCACTATTTGAGCAATAGTGAAAATCAGACCTGAAAAAAATTTCAGGCCTGTACGGGATTCGAACCACTGACCTCTGCGATACTAGTGCAGCGCTCTACCAATTGAGCTAACGAGCCAACTGGGAGCAGGCCATCAAATTAATTCGACATAAACCCGTAGATGATAAATCAAACAACAACAAACATATGAAACATATGTATGAACTGCGGTTATGAGACGTATATGTGAACGATCCTTCGCAGTAAAGCACTATTTGAGCAATAGTGAAAATCAGACCTGAAAAAAATTTCAGGCCTGTACGGGATTCGAACCACTGACCTCTGCGATACTAGTGCAGCGCTCTACCAATTGAGCTAACAAGCCAACTGGGAGCAGGCCATCAAATTAATTCGACATAAACCCGTAGATGATAAATCAAACAACAACAAACATATGAAACATATGTATGAACTGCGGTTATGAGACGTATATGTGAACGATCCTTCGCAGTAAAGCACTATTTGAGCAATAGTGAAAATCAGACCTGAAAAAAATTTCAGGCCTGTACGGGATTCGAACCACTGACCTCTGCGATACTAGTGCAGCGCTCTACCAATTGAGCTAACAAGCCAACTGGGAGCAGGCCATCAAATTAATTCGACGTAAACCCGTAGATGATAAATCAAACAACAACAAACGTATGAAACATATGTGTGAACTGCGGTTATGAGACGTATATGAG